TCGTGTAATGTTACGTCTTGCCAAACACCCCATCACACTTCCAATATCTGGATGATATTGGTGCAATGTGATTTACAGGATTACAACCCCAAAAACAAACAGAGTTTACCGTAAATTGGATACAAAGGTCTGGGTAATTATTCAAATTCGTCGACAGTGGGATTTGAACCCCAGACCTCTTGCATGGTAGTCTGGCAATCTAACTACTATACTAAGATCACCAGATCTGTAAAAATAAGTATTTTAATCTAGCTATAAACTAATATTTAATATATTTTATCAAAATCTTTCACTTATCAGTTTGTTATTATCTTTAAAAAATTTAATTATAGTCTTTATCATATTGGTTTACTATTACTCTATTTGATTATATACAGATATTTGAATAATATTTTTAATTTTTTTTTTTTTTTTTTTTGTTATTAAGGCAGTTTATATTGCTGAAGGAATTTTTATTAGAATTGTCAACAGGATTATATATTGATAATCCCTACTATTTGTAATTACATGAAGAGTATACAACAAGCCACATGTATAACTTTAGTTATTGTCTATTTTAAGTAGTCTGCTGCATAGGCGTTAGGCTACTCGATTAGTTCTACACTATGCTGCTATACCTGTAACCTATCTGTAAGTTACCTATTTAAACACTCTGTTCATTAACCCATACAGATCTAACCTAATATTACTGCAACACCTAACTGCTTAAGCCAGCTAGCTTATTACAGATCTATTTATTCAGAATGGCTTAGATTCTCTCAGGATATATTGTACTAGACATATTGCTAGTACTGCAGAGCTAATTAACCTTGAAGTAAACCTACTAGAGTAGTCTATACCTATTTTACGAATTTACTTAGCTTAGACCCTTATAGATATTTGTATAACCCTAGATTCTACTGTGGTCCTCTACTAGTCAGTTGACCTAGTTCTTTTTCAGTATCTAGCTAGTCTCAGTTACTCTTCGCCTGAAGACCTCAAAACTTTTTACCTTTATTAGACTGAGTTTTTTTCCTAGATCAAACTTTAGCTAATATAGTCCTGTCGAAAGGCTATACTACTTCACTGATTTGGGATTTCTACTATGCAGATCTCCTGCTCATATATCCTATCAAGATTTATTCATGTAATATTATACTACACTTCCAAGTTCTGATCAATTTGGTACAACTCAATTTACAGGGATACGCTCCCAGAAACGAATAGAGTTTATTGTAATATATTACAAGGTCTAAGAAATTATTCAAATTCGTCGACAGTAGAATTTGAACTCCAGACCTATTGTATAGCAGTCTAACAACTTAACCACTATACTAGGTCACCGGACCTAATATTTTTAATTTAACTAGTATATAGAAATTAATAATAATTATTAATTTTTAGAAAATAATAATTAAATATTATTGAATATTTTCTTTAATTTTAGTTATATAAAATATTCAAATTCTATTAAATAATTTCTACTAAAATTTAATACTTATAATTAAATAATTTTTATTTCTTTTAGTTATAGTTTTTATATTTTTACAAAGTAAATTTTTAAGAAAACAAAAATATTATCAAATAAACTTAGCATATTTCTTAATTATTTTATTATATTTCTTTAGATATTTAGATTTATATATTAGTATTTCTTTTAAATACTTAATAGTGAAAAATAGATTTAGATTATATTATTTGATTTAATCTTTAAAATAAGCTATAAATCATATCTGTAATATATATAGTTCTTGAGTTATCTTAGAATTAATATTTAGATAATATTTATGTTTAGCTATATTTAATGTTTAACTATGTTTAATAATATTTAACTATATTTGATAATATTTAGCTATGATTGATAATATTTAGCTATATTTTTTTTTTCTAACTTGAACAATCTTGCCTATCATTTATTAGAGGAAATATCATTAGATACATATAAAATATATATTATAAGACACAAATAAGATACAAATTATATAAGTCCTAAAACTATTCTATAATTAAATCTCTTCTTATTAGAATTTTAAACTCACTCAGCTACTAAATAGTACTTAGGTACGATCTGCTACAGAAATAATTTTTTTTCTTGTAGTAACTCTTCTCAAAAGAGATATTATCTTTAGATCAATAAAGATGACTTCAAACCCTATTAAGATCCTAGGTTCCTTCTAACCTAATTAATACTAAGATATAAGTAGTTAATATCTAGTCTCAAGATAGAAAAAAATAAAAATTATTACTAATTTAAAAGCACTAAGCTTACTAACAAAAAAAAACTTGTTTCAAGTTATAAAAATTTTGTTAAGCAGTAACATAATAAAAAGAACAGAATATATAAATAAGCCAAAAAAGGTAACCAAATACCTTGTAATCTGAGTTAGGCTTAAAAATTTTGAGTTATATAACTTATAACCTATCTTAAGTAATTCTCTATTCAGTATATAATTTACCTTTAGAATTTAGAACCTGTAGTACTGAGGTTATATTTCAGACTAAACAATAAATAAAGCATGTAAATTGTTATTATACAAAGTATATGACTTTGTTAATAAACAAAACATGTCTATATTTACTACATAAGGTTGCATATCCACAGAGTAATTCCAAAAATGAAAGGAGTAAATAATGCTGATATTTTGTAGTGAGAAATCTAGATTCATCACTTTTGTTGAAAAAATAGAAGACCAGAAGAAAAAAGCTTGTGATATGTTATTGTTTTGCAGAGCCTAAAAGAGTATATAAACAAAATAATTTATTATTCCTCTTTTTAAGTCTTCCTTTACTAACTTCGTTAACAAAAAGTGACTTTGCACATCTTTACTAAAATTTTTATATAAGAGCTTTCTCCTCTTGCTAGTTATCTTATATAATATCACTTTTAGCTTGCATATTAAATATACAAAAAAGTCTCTAAAAGTAAGTAGTTGACTTCTATAAAAACTATTGTATTGTAAAAGAAACTTCTTCATCTTTCTATAATAAATTTTTGTTTTTTTGCTTTTTCAAATTTTTGAAAAAAATAAATATTAGAAAGAGTTAAATATTTTGTATGAGTTTACAAAATATTTTTAGCTATATTTGATAATATTTAACTCTATTTAGCTATATTTAATAATGTTAAGTAATATTTGTAAAAAGATATATAAATCTTAGCTTTTTCTCATTTTATAAAAAAATTCTATAACTTTAACAATATTCAATAAAGTTCAAAATTCTCTATTAATTTTTTACTAAAGTATAATTTTAACTTTATAATTAATTTTTTAAATAAACTATTACAATGATATAATATTCTACTTCAATACTATTAGGATATCTTATGTTACTTGTAATATATTAAAAAAACTATATTACTTATAATAGTATTATTAAAAAAAGTAATATATCTTTTTGTTAAGTTTTTCTATATTTATTTACAAATCAGTATTGCTCTATATTTGGTTTTAATAATTAACAAGAAAAACTAATATTTATTTTTTGTTTAAAATAAAAATTTGTTTTAATTAATATAGAAAATTTTCTAAAATTTATATATTTTATTTGTATAATATTATTATAAAAAATATTTTTTAATTATAAAACTATAATTATATATAAAATTTTATTCTAAATAACTTTATTTAAAAGACAAAAATAGATTATCTTAATAAAAAAATAGATCTAGTGATCTTAGTATAATAGTTAGATTACCAGATTATCATATAAGAAGTCTAGAATTCAAATCCTACTATCAATGAATTTGAATAATTACTTAGACTTTTGTATCAACTTTCAGTTAACTTTGTTTATTTCTAGAGTTGTAACTCTATAAATCAAGTTGTACTAAGTTAATCGAACATTAGAAGTGTAATATAATATTATATAAATAAATCTTAATAGGATCTACAAGTAAAAAATCTATATAGTAGAAATTCTGAGTAGTTTAGTAATACAATCTTTGATAGTTACATTAGTAAAACCTGAAATCTGAAGAAGGAAACTCAGATATGAGAGTATAAGTAAGTCTGATTTGCTAATTAGCAATACTAATTTAGCTAAGTAGCTAATTAGATTTAAGAAGATCTAACTATTTAAAGAGTATAAAGTACTAGTAAAGGTGTAAAAAGTTGTAACTGAGATCATATAAATACTACAAAGGTTTAATCTAGGTAATCCTATAAAATAAGTATAGACTATTTTAGTAGGTTTGCTTCAAGGTTAACTAGCTTTACAATACTTACAATATGTTAGATATAATATAATCTGAGAAGACATAAGTTAATTTAAATAAATAGATCTATAATGAGCTAGCTAGCTTAAGCAGTTAAATGTTGTGATAATATTAAATTTAGATCTGTATAAGTTAATAAACAGAATATTTAAATAGGTAACTCACAGGTAAGTTACAAATATAGTAGCATAGTGTAAAACCAATCAAATAGTCTAATCATCTGTTCACAGACTATTTAAAATAGACAATAACTAAAGTTATATGTATAGCTTGTGTACTCTCTTTATATAATTACAAACAGTAAAGATTATCAATATATAATCCTGTATGCAAAACTAATAAAAAAAAAATAAAAAAAAAAAAATAAAAAAATAAGTTTAATATATAATAAATATAAATTTTTTAGTTTTTCTATATAAAATTTTTTTTTTTTTACTAAGATAATCTAATTTTGTTTTTTAAGTAAACCTGTTCAGAATAAAATTTTACATTATAAGTTATTAGTTAAAAAATTTTACTATCAAAAAAAGTGTAACAAATCATGTGACTGTTATACTATACGAAGAAGGTACTTACTAACATTTATTTAACTATCTTCGTTATATTTTTTTAGTACTTGATCATAAAAAAACTTTATAAATAGTTAATCAAATCAAAAAAGATGTTTCGGAATTGATAATTGAAAAAAACTCGGCGTGCTTCTCTATTTCAATGTCAATTATAATTTATACTAGTCTTTGCACGCCCTAATTAAACTACGAATTTAATTATCACTATGATATATTTTTTATTTAATGATTTTACCTTATGTATAAAAATGCATGAACTTTCTAGCCTCCTCAATGCAATTTCTCAAATCTAATATCTTCAAAATATGTTTGAAAGTTTTTATCACCTTATTTGTCTTTATCCATGTCATCGCTTCAACTTCATTAAATTCCTTTGACACCGCTGATGTTTTACAAACTGTCGACCCAGAATCCACAAACTTTCATTCATACACTGACATCAATCTTAAAAATGATGTTAATGATGAAGTCGTTGATGATAATGACACCAAGGCAGAAATAATTGCACTTTGGTATTGCCATAGATGTTATAGATCCCCGCCTAACTATTTTGATTGTTATAGATGCCATCATCGCTTTATAAAATCTCGACCCCCTTTTCGAATAGGTAGTTCTTGGTCGAGTTAGTTAATCTCTGTCGTGGAAAATTGTTAGAACTTGATTTTTTTTTAATTAAAATAAAAATAAATTTTCAAATTCTTTTTTTTTTTTTTAAAAAAAAAAAAAAAAAAAAAATATATATATATATACACTAAATTTTGATATATATATTTTTAGATTTATTTATAAACTTATTACTTCTAAGTATAATACATTGAATGTATACCAAAAACATTCATTTTGACAAGTTACGTGCTCTTTTTTTGCGATTGATCTCATCTTATTTCTAATTTGATAATCTCTCTAAAAATAACTTTTTTAACTGGGTAGGTTGAGTTAGACACATGAACTAATCAAGCACCTTAACGTTAAAGCACTGTCTTTACACCAAATATTCGCAAATAGTTCTACCCAATTACCACATTTTTACAAGTAGTTTTCAATTCTAGAATTTTTACATGCCTAATAACAAATTTTGTATTTGAAATAAGAACAATCTTTAACTCTTTCAGATTTTTAGAAAATATAAATACAACTTCTCTTTTAATTACATCTTGGTGCAAAAGTTAATACGTTTATGATTTTATTTATTATCTTATGTATAACCAAAGAAAAATTTTGTGCCAGACAGATTTTTTATTATCATGTCTTCCCAACAAAAATGCCCAACCGACTAAAGTATGAATTCATACAATAAAAGAAAAGAAAAAGATTAATAATATAAAATATTATTACACAAAATATCAAATTAAAAGAATTTCCACATTATATGATGACCTATTTATATATAAAAGAAAAAAAAAACATTCTACAACATATACAAAAAACTTTCGAAAAAAAAAATAAAGTGTTTCAACAGAAAGATTTTTTTTTTTTAAAAAAACTTTATTCTAAAAATTACTAATTCTGTTTGTTCATACTACATTAATAAATAATAATATTATTAATTATTAATTAAAAATTTCCATACTGTCCTGTCCGACTATTTTGACTATTTTGACCATTAGTTCTATTGATCAAATAAGTATTCTTCGATGTTACGGTATGATTACTATCAGAAGTACTATTCAATGAAGATGCTGTTGAATATGTTGACTCAGAATATTCATGAGTCGGTGTTGTTGCCATACTATTACTATTGCTACCAATATTATTATTAAATATTGGTGCATTTAATTGAATATCAGAAGTTCTGGAGTCTCTAGAATCATATTGATGTGAAATGGTTTGGCTATTAGTAGGAAGTTGTTCATGTTAGTGACCTCTATTTTTTTTATGAATATTTTTACTAGGTCTCTCAA